ATGTCCCTCGACTTGCAGCAGGACCACCTCGTTTTCTGCACGGCACAGAAATCAATTCTTCGACGCTCTAGAGCTTCTGCTAACTCATACGAGCGTCCCGTTAGTGTGCCAACATTTAACGTCGCAACGCGAGTCTTCCATACGTTGCGGGACTTTTGGACTAGCCTAGTTGCCCCCCGATGCCGTCCTTGCACCAGAGACCCTCGCATACTTTTCACACTCACCGGGCCTTGCAAGTGCGCGTCGGCTCCCGCGGACGCCGTAGCATTACATCGATATTCTTTAAGTGACATTAACATTTTTGATGTGACTGGGGTGTTCGTAGGCCGGCCTGTCACAGGGCCTGTCGCCTGCATACGAATGTCCGTGGTCAGCTCAGCCCACAGAGTGGGCAGTTTCCAGTGGCACCTCTTGGAGGAACGGACTTCGCCACCATATCGAGTACAGATATTTGTTACGTCTAAAATGTAAAATGAATAGAACAACAGGTCACCTTACCCACCATTGCTTTCCTCCGCTTCAATGTATTACATATTTCTGTTCGGGCAGGCTTATTTACCGACTCCTTACGGATATAGTCGAGCACTTGTGAAGAGCTAAGGGAGAAATATGTTATTTATTGCTTATTTGCGAAGAAATATCTGAAGTGCTCATATTCGACTGTGTATGGCGTCTAAAAACTTATGTTGATTGTGAGAATGCATTTCACTGGTTGTGAGCTTCTCGAAATTCAATGAGTGTGAGCTTCTTGAAAGTTTTCACACAATTGGGCTACGCACGGTAACGCCCACCATATGCCCACTACTACTACGACTTGTTAGAGGACCAATATAAACGGCATCAGCTGACCTCCCATTTAATAACTGCTTGCTCCCACGCTCACGTGGCATTCACACTCTTCGTTGTGCTTACGTGACTTTTGGAACTACCCACAAACCACCACACAGACAGACACACAAGGTTACCGCTGTATATCTGAAGAGATTCTTCTATCGGATTTTCGAAATCTTTCAGTTCACGCAAGCACAGTCGTCGACAGTCATCAGTAGAAGATGTAAAGCAAGCAAGGAGAATGCGAGGATCTCGATCTCAATCGCAAGCAAAACCATGGAAAGCTGGAAGTCTTATGCTTGGTGGCTTTAATCGTAGGAATTGACATATGTGACTCTATCAGTTGCAATTTGGTTTATTCTTTTTCTCTGTTTTTGTGGCTTGCTCTCTGCATTTGAGACTTGCTTGTTGTCATTACAATCCTGCCTATTGTTATTAAGAGTGGTGCTCCATATTTGTCTTGCTAATACAAAAGTCAAATGAACCACTGACTTTTTTAAGCCCTCATTTTTCGAAAACTAATTACCAACACTCGTTTTCCAAAAACGAAGGCTTAATTGTCGTAGTGTAAGAGTAGTTCATGGAAAGCATCCCCGCATTCGGCGTGTGTGCAAAATCATACGGGCAGCCCATGTGCTTAGTATATCCTTCAAGACGAGTCTGTACCCTTTGAGCACACCCCAGAAGGAATGAAGCTCTGGTTGGCCCTGGCAAGCATCGATCCATACGTGGTTAGTAATGTACTACTTGATGCCATCCACCTCCGCCCCAACTGTCAGGTTACGCAGTTAGTTATCGATGATTTTTTTGCGATTTCAAAAGCACGGTACTGAAACTCTCCCTTCTCATTTGTGCACCAGAGGCTTACCTAGTCTACTGCGAATGCTTCACACCTCTTCCCTATTGCATTTCGCAATTTTTTTGCGATCCCGAAAAAGTTTGTGCCACTATTTATATCCACAATTCTCTTTGTCAATTCTCTTTGTGCAAATTTAGTTTATTGAAAAAGTTCAGTTTATTGACAAAGAACGAGAAAATCGAGCAGTCGAAAAATTATACTGATTAATGATGTCTTTGATGTCTTTAGGGGGGGGGGGGGGGGGAGAGGAAGGAGGGGGATAAAGACATATCCTCACTGCCGAGCTCAGTAAGAGATTGTTCGGAGTAGTGACAAAGGAGATGGCAAGGTTGCTAACGTGCTAATGAACAGCGAGAGAGCGCAAACCTAGCCGAGAAATTTAGAACTGAGGCTTGATCAAGTGTTTGCAGAACCCTGCCTAGTCTGGGAGAATATGGGCAACCAGCAAGCAAATCAGAAAAGTTCATCGAAGCCCAGGTCAATGAAATACCCTCCGATGCTCTACTATAATTTAAAAGACTGGCCAAAGATGTTCCATTGATAGGAGCACTTCACACGTTAGAACTCAATAAAGGGTATGTTGGAATAAATCAGTTAGCCCTCAGAACAGCGCAGTCAAAGATAGTGCTGGGAACAAACAGGGACAGCTTATTGGCATAGAAACTTAGGTACACACCCTATACATGTGGCAGGACCAAAGACTAGCATATTCCACGGTAGATAGACGGAGTTCGACCCTCTGGGAGGCAAGGGTTAAAATTCTCGTCACAGAGCCAAGTTATCTTACCCAGTCCTGTTCATCCAAAGCGAGAAAAAGGCAGATAGAAACAACTGATCAAAATTTGTTACCAGTGTGCAAGCTACAGACCGTTTCCGAGATAGTGCCCCACACAGCAGTGGTGGTGAATATCACCACTTAAAAAAATTGTCAGGGTGAGAAAAAGGAGGCTAAATGTCACCGATTATAGGAAGATGTCGTAGCCTGGGAATCGCAACCCGAGTAGATGACGACGGAAAAAGCGATATCACCCGAATGGTAATGGAAGTTGGACCTCCTTCAGGGGAATTGTAAGTCGGGTCAGTATGGATAAGGTTCAATGACCAGCATAAACTCAATAGATATTCTTGCAAATTGCGAGAGCGGGGATTGGACGTTCACACTTTGTCAGTCGTGCCAAAGGCTAGACTCAACCCGATATCTGAAACTCAAACCGGCCTTTCCATATCAGCCGAGCCAAACAAGCCGAAGTAATAATACGAACTGATGCGGTAAGCAAACTAGGCGTAGACTGACTAGTCAATAAAAACATTACCGAAGCAAAGCAAAGAAATGGGGAAGCAAATAAAGAAAATAAAGCTGTGATGATGAGCGCCTCTGCATTCCACTCCATAACGTGGCCTAGCCCCACTCGAATGTGAAGGTGACTCAAGAATCAATAGGAATGGCGTTATATGACCCTGCAAGTGAAGAGTTGGACCTGAAGTATGCACGTTCAAAGATCGAAGGACGACATCTCCGTTTTCAATAGTGGCACGGAACCGCTGCTTTTGAAAGAGGAAGAAAATGGCACGAGTCGTAGGAAGACCTGTGACAGTGATCATCGATACGGTGAATTACGCAGCTATCAAAATGGAGGCGTGGCCGGAGAGGCGATAGGTTCAAGGTCAAGACTCAGCAAACTGGCAGCGGACCTGATAGAGAGGAGTGTCATAGAGCCATAGAGCGATGTAAAACAGAACGAACTTCTCTCCTAGCTTCCGTGAAGAAGGACGGTTAAACTCGGTCATGCGTATACCATAGGAAGCTCAACAAAAAGAACGAGTTGCACATTCTTATAACCTATCCTTCTGCAGGTATAGGAGGTTTTCCTGAGTATATCAAAGAAGAGATTCTCCTAAATTTTGAACATGTGCAGCGGACACTGACAAATCCCTTTAGCGGATGACGCCAAGGATGTCAGCATTCTCCGCGGTAGAACGACTTTACCAATACAGGGTAACACCATTTTGACTGAGAACTATTCCACCATTACGGAAAAGGTTAAAGAATATTGCCCTGGGAGATCTTCTTAGCTGTGAGTATCCCGTTATATGTAATATGTAGATTATGTAATGCACAAACTTCGAGAAGAGGCATCTTTAGCCCTCAATAGAAGTTTCTGGGAGGTTTTTAAAGGCAGGATTACGGTCAAATGCGCAGAAATGCCAAGTGTTGAAGGCTAACATAGTGTTTCTGGGATTGTCACCGTCGAAGATGGCGTGCACGTGGAAACGGAGATGGTATCCGTCATCGAGGACCTCCAGTTACGCAACCCGTCAACACCTTTGAAGCTTTCTAGGCCTGGCCTCCTTCTACGAAAAGTTTTGCTCAGGCTTCTCGGAGCAAGGGCTAGTCTCTTCAGTTTGACGTCGCCCAAAATCAATTTTCACGGAAAGAAGAGCATTAAGATTATGGTCTAGACAGCACCAGTAATCGAATAGTCAGATGTGGATGCAGCCAGAAGCAGTAGTAACCCTTTTTGTGTACGCACGGATGCATTGACAAATGGTTTGGGAGCAGTGTTATCCTAACAAGGTGAAGGCAAGCAAATACATCATCCATTATCATTCATTTTCGTGACGGATCACCAGCCTACAGCGGCACTCTTTAAGCATACTAATGTGTTTCCACGCGTGATAAGATGGTCACTCGGATTACGAAGGTATAAACTTGGGATTCACTATGCCAAGGAAAGGACGAACGTAGTGAAGGACGCCCTCAGCAAGAACAGAAGCGTTTTTACAATGCTGGAGTTGGAGTCGGCCAAGGGCGACGGCTCCATGCGCAGGAAACTGAGATAATGAATCAGGTCGAAGGTTAGGTCACATTAGTCGATTGGGATCTAGCCAATCATAAATAAAGAACCCTCGCGACCCTAATCAAAGGACGATCGGCGTCGAACTCAAATGACCCACAAGTTCATCCCGCGCCAATTGATCGCATTACTTTCTAGACGCCGCTAGGAAACGGCGTCGGTCAAAAGGGTCAAAGAAGCTTAGCAGTCGACGGAACCTTCCGCGCTCACCTTATCTTACCCCTGGGTGATTGCGGAGGGTTTCCTTTGTTAAATGCGGATGTCAATAAGCTGGTTGACCTCAAATTCGCTCTCCAGCAAAGGGCTGCGCAGTTTTCGTCATTGAAACTTGGTGTAAGCCACATTCTACTCATGATGCTATACTGAGCTATGATTTCATATATAAAGCATTACGGTGTGACACGGTGGGCACTAGCACCGGCGGTGGGGCAATTGCCCTCATCGATAAGTGTAAAAATCGATGATTCTGCTCCAATATCTCACGGAGACATAGAAAAAAAGAACAGATTCAGGAAAGGAAGCGAGATCAAACCTGAATAGAAGACGATCTTGGTCCTGAGCAGAAGGAAGTTTCGAAAAGAAAAGATGATTTTGCTCTAATCTCTTGTGAAGACTTAGGGAAAAAGAAAAGATTCAGTAAGGGAAGCGAGTTCAA